CGGAGGAGATGGATTGTTTAAGTTTAGAGTTTGGAGTTAGAGATATTAATATTTGTTTACTTGTAGTTGAATGTTAGCCTAGGTTTGGTTTGGGAAGTCCGGGGGGTGGGGGGATGGGATAAATCATTGTGTAATACTTGTGATGTATTTCTTCTTTTATGATAAAAACAATAAAATTCTATATTGAAAAAAAAAAAAATAATACCAAACAGCGAATAAAATGGGCATCTAAAGCCACAGGCTGCAGTGTCATTCTTAATTGCCAAAAAAAAAAAAAAAAAAAAAAAAAGAAGAAGCTTGTGGGGCTACCAGTTAAAAAAAAAGTTCAACCAGATCTTCCAACTTTGCGAGATCTTATGTTTTTGGTGAGAAGTTGGAAGGTCAGATTGATCTCTTTTTTTTAGTCCAACAAACTTCTTTTGTTTCCCTGCACACGGAAAGGTTAGTGAAGGAAAGTGGTTGCCCTGGGGTGGGGGTTAGGATTTGGCATTGTGGATGCCCTGGGGTGTGGTGGAGGTTAGAGTTTGGCATTGTGGATTATGGAGTGTTTGTGCTCTGGTGGGGGTATTCAAAATGCACAGATTCCCTGCATTTTGAAGCATCCTGTGTGACTGCACGGAAAGGAGCGCTCCATTTCTCAAGTGCCCCATTCCAGGCATACGGAGGTTGCAGTCTCTGCCAGATCTCCGCCAGATCTGGCAGAGACTGCAAGCTCTTTGGCTAAGTTTTCTCAGGAAAAAGCCATTTCTCAAGCCCCTTCCTAGCAAAAACAAGCCTCCAGAGCAAGCATGCCTCACTCTTCTTAAGAGCACACTCGCTCTGGAGGCTTGTTTTGGCTAGGAAGGGGCTTGAGAAATGGCTTTTTCCTGAGAAAACGTAGCCAAAGAGCGAAGCATGTGTGCCCACAGAGAGGGCTCTGAGTGCTCCCTCTGGCACGCGTGCCATAGGTTTGCCACCACTGGACTAGACAGTCACCTATCTGAAATGGTATAAGTTCTCCTGCTAGAAGACCTCCAAGATCCATTCCAGCTTTCTATTTCTATTTCTTTATTGACCAAGTGTGATTGGACACGCAAGGAACTTGTCTCCAGTGCATAAGCTCTCAGTGTCCATACAAGCAACAAGTGATAAATCATGATCAGAATCATAAAATACAATCATCAAAAATCATGAGATACAACACTCAGTGATAGCCATAGGATGCTAAATAAGCAATCAATATAAAACAAACTAGGATACTAAATAAACAGTCAGTATAAATTATAAGATACAAGGAACAAAGTTATAGTCATAAGAAGATAAAGAAATAGGTAACAGGAAAGATGAGAAGGATAATAGTAATACAGCCTTACTAGGTAGTTTGACAGTGTTGTGGGAATTAGTTGTTTATGTTCTGACCCAGCCTTCGCGAATGTTACTCAACAGCTTACTCAAGAGGAAAAACCCCTTTTCAGTTAACAAGGCATGAGCAAGGCAGGAACTCGTAAGAAAAAACCCTTTTATTTTAACAAGGCATTTATGGAATAAACTCCAGATAACCAGTCCTTAGATGTACAAACAGTAGCAGTCTCTGCTCCCACTTGGCTGAGATAAGTACAAAGTCTCTGAGTTCCAAGCAGTAAGGCTCAATTAGCAATTCAACCCAAACACACAAAGAAAGCCAACAAACCTGCAAAGAATTGGCAAAACTCCTGGCAAAAGAAATCAGAGAAACAAGATGTGGCCTTCCGGGTGCACTTCAAGGTGTTAGTAACAACCTTTAAAGCGCTCCGTGGCAATGGACCTAGGTATTTGCAAGACCGCCTCCTACCAAACACCTCCCTTCGACCAGTCCGCTCCCACAGAGAGGGCCTCCTTAGGGTGCTGTCGGCCAGACAATGCCAGCTGGTGACCCCCAGGGGGAGAGCCTTCTCTGTGGCAGCTCCTGCCCTCTTGAATGACCTACCCCCCCAACCTACGTACAGTTGCGGACCTGCGCCTTTTTCGCCGAGCCCTGAAGGCCCATCTATTCCGTGCGGCCGGCCTGGCGTAGTTTGATTATGTTTTAGTGGGGGTTTTGTATGGGGTACTTTTAGAGCAGGCCTGTTATTTAATTTGATTTTAGAACAGAAACTTGTGTATATTTATCGTGGTTTTTATTATCGCCTGTTCACTGCCCTGAGTCCCGTAAGGGAGATAGGGCGGTATANAATAATAATAATAATAATAATAAAGATACCATAGCATGAACTGCTGTCTGCAGCAACCGGTGCCTCCCACACCTCTCCTCTTTATAGTCCAGCCAGAGTGTGGCTTCTTAGTGTGTCTTATTTTTCCTGGAGAGCCGCCCCACCGCCCTCTGTTGTCCTGCATGCCTCTCCTCTCTGCACATGCACACATATGGGACAGGCCCCAGCTGTTCCTGCTCTTTGCTCAATTCAGGCCCCCAACACAGCTGTCTCTCTGCCTGAGTGTGAGTAGATGGGCCTGGCTCCGTGTCTGGCTCTGAGTCTTCTTGTTCCTCAGAGCCTTCTGCAAACTCCAATGTGATCCCAGGCACCCCTTCCCCCTCATCCGATTCATCTGACTCAGCTGCCAGATCCGCTGGCAATTGAGGAACCACAACAGTTTTGCAGAGTGATGGCATGAGGAAGAACTGTCCTTGTGTCTAGTTGTTTTGGTGTGCAATGCCCTATAGCATCATCCTGAGGGAAGAAGTTGAAACAGTTTATGTCCAGGATGTGAGAGGTCTATAGAAATTTTCACAGCCCCGTTTCTGGCTCATGCTGTATACAGGTCCTCAATGCAGTATACTTTATGACCATTGAACCCCCTTGGTTCAAAAGGGACAGTTTAATTTCTCCAAAACCCAAGGAAAAAATGAAAAACCCAACTCTGCTTATAGGATGAGGTATGCTCCTTTATTTTGCATCAGCATCCTGCTTTCTGTGGCCTTGGTATCTCTTAAAGAGTTAGGTGCAATCTTTGGCTATTCAACAACTCAAACAAGAACAACTCCAGGATCAGTTTAGAAATGAGAGTCATCTGCTCTGTAGGGCATGTGCACAAATGACTTTTTTTTTTACATTTATTTCTAGGAGGATGTACCATGCTGGCTGTGACTGCTTTTGTATCAGCTGTCAAACTCCATCGGCTTACAGAAAGAATTGCCAATTTTCGGGAAAATGGCTTCCAGTTTCTCATCCTGGAAGAAGAGTATATGCCTTCTTTCTGGCTTTGTGTAGCAAGTGCAACAATCCATGGGCTGAATCTGGTCATTGTTGCCCTCAGCGCAATTCACTTCCCAACTCTGAAAACAAAGACAGAAGAAGCAAATGTTACAGCAGAAGATATCATGTACTAAGTCCTTTATTTCCAATTTGCCCTCTTCTGAACTTCCATGATTCTTTGATCATCTGCATACTTTAAAGCCACTGACATCAAGTAGGAAAAATTAGTATCACAAACAGGTTGATTTCAGCAAATGCTGAGGTCCATTGACTGCTATGTCCATAAGCTGGAAGAGGATTGTGTCTCCCTCATAGTGTTCAAAATTTAGGAGTCCTCCACCTTCTCCTGCTGGTTATAACTGTCATTCATAAATCTTCCAATCACCAAAAGAGAAGTTTACTACCTTTGCCCCAACATTGTGCATTGGAAAATGGATACCTTTGCTTCATGAAAACTAATTCAGTTTATCATCATTAGCCTTTGTTCAGTACCTCAGAAGCTAAAAAGATTTGTATCTGTATCTTTGTCTGTATCACTGTTTCTTTAAAGATGAGGAACTAAAGGAGAACTTTTCCTCCTGCCACATGATTATTTTTGGTGTTAATTCATACTCAGATATGTTATTCTTTGCAAGATACCATAAGCCTTTGCTAAAGATTTAAAGGAAATTCGCCTTTTTTGAGGAGCAACAAAAATTAGATGAACAATTAATTTCCTATTACAATTTTTGTCTCTCTCTTGGGTGGGCTAAGGTATTGGCTTTCCCAGCCAAGCATCATGAAAGTTTGGCCTAACTTAAGTATAATTCATAGCTGAGATTACAAGACATGCGCTAATGTTTTGTTGGATAACTTGTCAGATGGCATTCCCTGTGCAAGGAAGTGGAATTATGGAACTATTGTAAACTCTCCAGTCATGGGACTCCATGCAAATTTGTGGATTGAAGGTCCAAATCTTCAAAATGGAAGGCGAGGCATTGTGATCCAAGCCCTGCTTGCCATCTTACAGATTTTGACCACCTCTCAAATGCTGCTGTTGTGTTATTTCAATGATGTCACTCATAAAGCACTAAACATTTCATCCTTCTCTTCAAAATGGAAGGAAAATGGTGCTGATGAGCAGATGGCGCAAATCACTTGTTATATGTCTCCTTTTATTTTTATTTATTAATTTATTATTGTATTCTACTGTATTTTATTTTGCATCACTAGCCCATTTTTATTATTTTTACTGAGCCTTGAAGATAATTACAGTCACAATATCCTTAGCATTTTGGAATTTAATTCAAGAGTCTAAAATAAATGGAATGCCAAATAGGAAAAACCGTAACACAAAAAAGTCCAGGTTCTCGGGCTGTGCCTATCAAAGCCACCTGAAACTGACAAATATACGCCAGATGAAATATGCATAAATAAAGCTAGTGACAAAACAAAACTGATTGCTATTTCTCTCCTGAATGATTTATTGTGAAAAGAATATGTGTCCAAAGGAAAAGCCTCAGACTTCAGATTCTGCAAAATTCAATGGATGAAGCAGGGAAATGCTTTGATTAAGGCACTGCCTTGAAGAATTCTGAACTGGGAAATTAGATATTTGTAAGTAACATATTCAGATGGCTCAATGTGTCTGTACCTGCAAGTATCAGAATTTTGCAAGCCAGTTTCCCTGTCATGCTCTTTGGAAGTGGTCTTTTAAGCAGCAAGACAGAAAGAGCATTGATACTTTTGAACGTTTTTGAAGAAAACTCCCAAGAATACCATGGATAATCAAGAAAACAAATAAATGGATCATCAAACAAATGAACTCAAGGCAAAAAATGACCAGGCTCAAATGATCCTACTTAGGAGACCTTTTGTGAAGACCTAGCTTTCTGGGAAAGGTGGAAGAGAAGACAACATCCAGCAGCAACTATGAATATATCATTGGAAGATCTGAAAGATCAGGTTGGAGACAGTCTAACCAGGTAGGAGAGTGTCCTGGAGATGATTTATCTAAGTGGTCCCTAAGAGTTGACACCAACTTGATGGCACATTATCATATAACAGATATTCTCACCTATGCATTATGTTGCCCAAAGTGTGAGAATGACAAAGCTGCTGTTATCATTGATTGTACTGGGAGATTGTAGTTTTAAGGAACTGAGGAGAGTCCAGGAGCCACAAGACTGAGATTGGCAGGTATTCTAGTCCATAGGAAGTATGTGGCTCCCTGTCTCCATGTAGTGCCATCTGCTACCTATCACAGACTGCAAAAAAACAAAACAAAACAACAAAACAAAACTGTGCTCTAACGAAAAGAGAGAGAAGACAATATAACATTCTGTCTTGATAGAGGTTGATTGAATCCTGTTCCCAAAGCTTTTGTTAATTCTACCAATCCAGACAGTCATTTGTAATTGCCTTTTGGGCTGGACTGGCTGTGATTAGGGACAACTCATCTTTATCTTTCTCAGAATAACATGTGTGAGTTTCTCCAGCTGTAGACCTTTCAAGCCTTGCTTCAAGGGGGAACTCTTGGTATCATACAGTCAATGAAACATTGGCATCCCAACCAAATGAACAGGACAAAGCTTTAAATGGAAGTCAAATATAAGAAAAATGAAAATAAGGTCAAAGTAGAAGATCAGGAGAATTAAAGGAAAATCAAGGTACGGAACTTGAGCAATTGTTAATCACAGGATAAAACAGACTCAAAATACGCATTAAAGAACAAGAGTCACTCTGAAAGTGAGATGGGTGATCTCCATGAATAAATAAATAAACAAATAAATAAATAAATAAATAAGAAAGAAAGAAAGAAAGAAAAAAGAAAGAGAAAGAAAAAGAAGAGAGAAAGATAGCGTTCAGGAGAAGAAAAGAGAAGCTCAGCTCTTGGATGAAAAGGAATCTTTATTTTCTCATTCAAAAGGAAGTATGTGGCTCCCTGTCTCCATGTAGTGCCATCTGCTACCTATCACAGACTGCAAATGGGGAAAGAAAATCTTGGGCTGAAAAGGTTGCAAGCCAAGAAGAGAGGTTGTTAGTGCTTTAACTGAGTGGTGGGGCCTTTAATCTTTTTAATAGAAGTCAGTCCCATCCAGGTCAAAAGAGGTCATGATTCTATTCTGCATCAACCAAGCCTGTGATAGAATTCACAAACTGGAGTGGGATGCACAAGAAGCCAGGAGAGGAAAGGTCATGGCAAACAGGCTGGACTCAAGTCCCAAGAAGCAGGTGGGCCTGTTTGTCCCAGATGTTATGTGCTCTTGGCTACTTTTCTTCGTGACCAGAGGCAAGCTCACCTGACCAATAATCAGCCAAGACACAATGAAGATCTTTTGTTTCATTTACTGCAATAAGCAGGGAGAGAAGCTATCAAAGCTTGGTTCTCTCCAAAGTTCTAGCCCAAAATATTTCCTTTATACAACCCTATCCCAGCTGCCACATCCCTCCTCTTTCCCCATTTCCGGCTACACAATAAATCATACATCACATGTACATTAATAATATAAAATATTAGACATATTTTGAGCTCTGATATTTATGGCCTTTTTTACAATAGATTCTTTCCTGTTTTTCAGTTAAGTTTCCCTGGCTAGCCATTTCCTCTTACAGCTGTTTTTATAGCTTGTATTCATCCTTTTCCTACTTAAGACCCAGCTAATTTTTGCTTACATGTTTATCTTACATCCTCCCTTTATGCTAACCTTTCCTGGTTCCCATCCATTGTAGTTTTTTTGGTAAGCTTGTTTGTCCAGGCAGTAAATTTCCACTGCAGCAAATTCAATTTTAATTTTTTCTTTCAATATTAAATTTTGAAGACCTTTCACTTGTTGAAGGAAAAGTCTTCATTAGGTCCTAGCCGTAAATAAACAATATGGCAACTGCTTTAGAAAGAAGGTGGTAGTTTATCGAAGACGAGAACCAGACAGAAAAATGGCTCTGGAAAAAAAGAGTGACCACATGTAGCAGGGAGTGGGTTTTTATACCTTCTGGGGCTCTTGAGGTTGTTTCCTATTCCTGTTTGAGGCTTTGTATTTCCCGTATCATGTACTTTGACCTGAGTCTGAGTATGCCTTTCTGGTATTCTGATGGTGGTGGATTAATCCTATTATGTTTCCTGTCCTTAGAATTTGGGTGGTGTATGTAGATTTTATGGGTCTTTGTCTTCCTAATTTCTTCAGTTTCTAGCTGGAAGGCTCCAACCTTCCTGAATGGATTATTACATCTACATTTCTAAAAGCTGGTGTCTGCTGAGTTGTCTGGCTGGGTGGGGGGAGAAGTTTCTTGACTGCTGCTTCTTCCTGGACTGAGAAAGGGCCCCTAGAATAGGATTAGAACTCAGGGTCTCCTGGTTGGTAGAAAGGAGACTCGGAGCGCTTTCCCAACCTGTCGCTTGGCTGGAGCTCAGGAGTTTGTTTTGGAGAAGATGGCCAAATAACTCCCCTTCAAAGGCTGGGCAAATCTGCAGCTGGATCTCCCGGTAGACAGAACCTGTCTCCAGGGTCGGGATCTCCAGGTCTCTTTCCATTCCACACGGACCGGAATCTTGAAATCCAGCAGGGTGGACGCGCGTGCAAGAGGCGAGGGGGAGGGGGCAACCGCCTGGAGATTCGCTCACTCACAGGGGAGAGAAGCGGAAGCTTTGCTCGGAATCTGAATTCTGCCCAACCGCCTAGGATTATAACTCTGTTCATGCATCGATCAGCAAGCGGGGACCCTTGCAAGCGGAGCAGAGGAAGCGAGATTGTTGCATAAAAGACGTCCATGCCTCTTCCCACCGATCGCTCCCCCACCCTTCCCACGAAGCCTTCCGCCCGGCCCCTTCGTTCATTCCCGCCTCTTTCCCGTCGTCCCCTTGGCCGTGGGCGGCGAGTATGTTTCTGCAGCTGCTGTTGGCAAGAGCCCGGTGCCCGCTGGTCCCCTGTCCCCCGCGCGGTATCCTCCTCCTTGCCGCCTCCATGGCCACCGGCACGCGCGCCACCGCTCGGCAGGTAGGGCTTGAGCGCGCCGTCGGGGTTCCGGGGAACCGGAGCGGAAGGGAGAGGCAGGCGTCAAGCCCTCGCGACGCCCCGCGGAGCCTCCGGGCGGCAGATGCTCCGGGGCGCTGCGTCGCGGACACCCTGTCCTTCCCTGGCCCCTCTGATCCTTGCAGCTGAGCCGGAGACTCGGCCGCCCCAGCACTTGGAGTGCTGACTGGCCGGCTGCGGAACTAGCGAGGGAAAGTGGCTGGAGTGGTTCGCGTTTGCCGGTGATACTGTCCCAAGATCAAGCCCTCTGCTGGAGACCCCGAGGCCCTGCTGCACCAACGCCCCGGATCTGATTTTTTTGCGGGGAAAAAGACGCCTCTAAGTGGAGCTTGGTTGCCCCCGATCATGACACGGGTTGGTGTGTTCCCAAGGGACTCAGAAGCACTTTGCGGATCCCTTTAGTAATTTCCTGCTTCCAAGATTTTTGTGGAAATAGAACGGCGCAGGAGGAATATTTTATTTGTAATGTTATACGTATTTCTGTGCCGTGAAAGTCTGTTCCCCTTGGGAGGAATGGCTTAAAGCCCCAGCGGTTTTAACTTTCAATACTTCTAAACGGGGGTCACAATAACATGCACCGAGAATTCATTGAACTTATTTAAACCTACCTTGCATTGTTGATAGAACATATCATTTCAGAAAAGTGGGTGTCCAGTCTCTCCTTAAAAGCCTCCAGGGATGGGTTACACACAACTTCTGAAGGCAAGACATTCCACTGGTTAATTGTTCTCACCTAGAAAATTTCTTCTTAGTTCTAGATTGCTTCTCTCCTTGATTAGTTTCCCTTCATTGTTTCTTGTCTTGCCTTCTGGCTTTAGAAAATAGGTTGACCCCTCATCTTTGTGGCAGCCCTATCATGTCTCCCCTAGTCCTTCTTTTCACTAGACATACCCAATTCCTGCAACTGCTCTTTATACGGTTTAGCCTCCAGCACCCTAATCATCCTTGTTGCTCTTTTCTGTACTCTTTTCCAGTGTCTCAACATATTTTTATCTTGTGGTGACCAAAATAGGATGCAGTATTCCAAGAGTGTTCTTACTAAGGCTTTGTAAAGCAGTACTAATACTTCACATGATCTGGATTCTGTGCCTCTGTTAATGCAGCCTAGGAGTGCATTGGCTTTTTTTGGCTGTAGCCACACACTGTTGGCTTATATTTAAGTGATTGTCCACTAGGTAGGACTCCCAAGATCCCTCTCACAGTTACTGGCATTGACCCATGTTTTCATCCAATCTATATCTATACATTTGGTTTTTATTACCTTAGTGTAAAATCTTACTTATCCACATTGAATTTTATTTTGTTGTATAGAGCCCAGTATTCATGTCTGTTGAGATTCTTCTGGATCTTGAGCCTATCTTCTGGGATGTTAACTATTCCTGCTAGCTTAGTGTCATCAGCTTTTGTAAACCATTCATCCGTGGTAGGAATCGAGGCATCCTTCCACTTTTGTGCATAGAGCAATCTTGCTGCCGTCACCATATATAAAATCAGAGTTCCAATTTTTTCCCCCAGTTCTCTTTCCATTAGACCAAGAAGGAAAGTTTCTGGTTTAATCTTTATGTTTGCTTTAAGGATTTTCTGCATTAATATATGAATCATACTCCAATATTTCTTTGCCTTATCACATGTCCACCATCAATGATAAAAAGTCCCTTCTTTACATTTACATCTCCAACATTCATTTGAAATATCTTTATACATTCTAGATAACTTGTCTAGTGTTAAATACCAGTGATACATCATTCTGTAAAATTTTTCTTTTAGGTTATAATTTAATGTGAATTCTAAGCCTTTTAGCCACATATTCTCCCATTGTTCAAACATCACATTATACCCAAAATTCCTTGCCCACTGGATCATACACTGTTTTACATGTTCATTTTCCAAATTCAATTTTAATAACATTTTATAGACCTTGGTAATTATATGATCATCACTACCACATAGTAGGATTTCCAATTCATTTTTAGCAAACTCAAAACCATGGCCTTTTTTGTCTAGTTTAAATCTTTCCTTCATTTGTGGATATGTAAACCAGTGACAAGCGTGACCTTCTAATTCTAATTCTTCCCTAGACTTGATGGGGTCACCAGAATTGAAAGATACTATTTTACCATACGTCCACCAGTCCGGCTTCACCATCATTTCTTTTCTAAAAAAGCTTCTTGGTGGGACGCCCACAGGGGCAATTTCGTAAAAAAACCTTGTTTTATATACTGTTAAGGACTACATGTTGAGTACGCTTTGTCTGCCAGTTAGAAATCCATCTGGTGGTTGAGGCTGGTTTTTACTTTACCAAGAAGTAGGTTATGGTCTATTTTGTTCAAATTAGTCAAGATCCATCTGGATCATGAGCCTATGTTCTGTAGTGGCTATTCCTGTCAGCTTGATATAATCTGCAAATTTGATGAGTTCCCCTTCTATTCCTTCATCTACATTGTTTATGAAGATATTGAAGACTACTGGACCTAAGACAGAACTTTGAGTACTCCACTGCTCCCTTCCCTTCCCTCTGCAGCAAGTGGGAGATCAAACATATTCCTAACCAACCTAGCTGACAACTTTGTCACCCAAAAGGTAGAGGAGGGAACTAGAGGAAAAGCTATACTATATCTAATTCTTACTAATAGAGAAGAAGTGATAGAGGGAGTTGAAGTTGCCGGAACCTTGGGTGAAATGACCACATCATACTGGAATTCAATATAATGCAGACACAAGCAATAGAAAATAATCCAACCGGTGTCTTAAACTTTAAAAGAGCTGATTTTAACAAATTCAGAGAGAGCTTAAGAAAAATTCCATGGATGAAAATCCTAAAGGGGGAAGTATGGGAAACTCTGAAAAATATGGTCATAAAAGCCCAGTCCAGCACAATAACACTGAAAAAGCAAAACAAGAAATCCAAGAAGAAACCAACATGGTTGCACAAAGATCTTTCTGATAAACTGAAAGACAAAAAGTACAGGTACAAAAAATGGAAAGAGAGACACATAAACAAAGGCTGATTATCAGCATATAGTCCGAATCTGCAAAGATGAAGTCAGAAAAGCTAAGGCTCTGAATGCAACAAAAATCAACATATAAATAACAAGAAAAGAATCAAGGAAACAGTAAATCCACTTAAAAGAGAAGATGGCAAGGAAGTAACGCAGTAGACAGAAAGCAGAGATGCTTAACTCTTTCTTTGCATCAGTCTTCACACAAAAAGAAACTATAGCCCAACCTATCAAAAGCCTAACTGTAAAAGACAGACTAGAAATAAAAATTTTAAAAAGTAAGAAAATGGTTAAGAGAACATCTATCTGATCTTGATGAATATAAATCACTGAGACCTGATGGTTTACATCCCACAGTTCTGAAGGAGCTGGCAGATGTTATCTCAGAACTATCATACATATCTTTCAAAAATCTTGGAACACCGGGGAATTACCTGAGGATTGGAAAAGAGCTGATGTGGTTCCCATCTTCAAAAAAGGGGGAAAAACAGACCCAGGAAACTACAGACCAATCAGCCTAACATCATTACTCAGGACGATACTGAAAAAGATAATCAAAAAACAGATCTGTGAACATCTAGCAACAAATAAAGCTATAATTAAAAACCAGCATGAGTTTGTTAAAAACAGATCATGCCAAACCAATCTTATTTCGTTGTTTGACAAAGTAGCTAAATTAGTAGAGCAACGAAATGCTGTAGACATAGTATACTTAGACTTCAGCAAGACATTCAACAAAGTAGACCACAACCTACTCCTTGGTAAGCTAGAAAAATGTGGGATAGACAGCATCACCACCAGATGTATTTGTAACTGGCTGACAAACTGTACTCAATGAGTCGTCCTTAATGGTACTACTACATCTACATGGAGGGAAGCAAGCAGTGAGGTGTCACAGGGTTCCGTCTTAGGCCCAATACTCTTCAATATTGTTCTATCCCCGTCGGACACACACACCCAAACAGCCAGCCGAGGGTTAAAGAACTTCTCCACACTCCAATCCACAGATAAGAAAACTTGGCAGCAGCTCCGTAGCTGCCTGCCAAGACTTTTACTCAGAGAACAAAAAACAATACACACAGTTAGAAAATTAAGTCCACAGCAAACTACTTCGCCAGAGATTCAGCT